TATTAAATAAATAATTATTGCAAATAAAATAATATTTTTTACTTCAAACCTAATTTTTTTTAAATCAGCTATGTAAATTGATTTAAAAAATGTTACTTCCGGAATTTACGAAATATTTACTTTCCCTATTTAATCTCGAGAATATCTATAATTTACTAGGAAAATTGATCTAGAGTGAGCGAATCTAGGTAGAATTATCGAAAGGAAAAACCTGTTGTGGTAGGTTACCCTTCGCCACCTTTGGCTTGTAGATTCTCCTACAATTTGTCGAACTACAGTCCAGCCTTGACAAGAATAGTGAAATGTGCCTAGAGCACCGCTCACAGCCAATCGCACTTAACAAGTCGTGAGAGATTGATGCAATGTTTCGGTTTGAGTTGTAACTTCACTGATTTTTGATGGTATCGATTTCTTTATTACTATTACACTGTTAATCTTATAAGAGAGTTAAAAGTTTCGCTTAGCTCGTTACTCTTTCGCTTGCGGTCACGGAGTGCACGTCCGGTCTTCTCCGCAATCAAAAAAAGGCAAGCAATGGCCCGCCCACTAGCGTGCTAAGTAATATCACCAGTCAATGAGCTAATTACTTATTCAGCTTTGCGAGTCATTCCTTATCTCATTCAGTAACTTTCGCAAGAGCGTGAGAGAGGAGGACTGTCTCTCTCACTCTCGCGGTGTGCTTTTGTTAAAAGCGCATATTAGGCAGAAAGCTATACGTGTCTCTCATTCTCCGGCATCGACTTACATATACATTTCGTCTGGAAATCAATTATTACCGAGGGTGCTAAGAGCGACGAATCGCGCAGTTGAGAAAGACTGAAAGTCGCACGCAAACTGCTTTTTCGGTAACATTTCTGCGTCCGATGTCTGGCTTGCTTGAGATGTAACAAAAATTATATCTAAATGTATCTTATAGATGTAGAAATCATGACCAAAATAATTTTTGGGAATATTACATTTTCATTTAAGAGTTCTTCAGGCGAACCGTAATGAGAGAGCTATCCCAGCTCACGCAAATGATTCGTACAACATACATATAAAATTCATAGTGTGTTGTCCTAAAACATACATATATCATTTATACAGTATTGTTATATAACATACATATATCTCTCATATATTATTCTGAATCATACATATCTTTATAAACTGCTTGAAACATTCATTATTTATCTACTAATGGTACTACAAGTGCATCGCGACTCGTGTACGTAGTGGAAGCTCGCTAGATCATAAAATAGCAGTAGCAGATACGATATAAGCCAAAAGAAAGGTAGTGAGGTTTCTACTCTCACTGATTAAGGTTTCTTTATTGTTACCTTTTATTTCCCTTAGGCATAACTCGCAATTACTTTAATGAACTTCACGTGTAACGGACATATCAATTACAATAACAGTAAAGTGTATGCTGCTGAGTTAATATTAATAAGAAATCATAATCATATTGCTTATAGTCAATAATATTATACGTTTACTTGCACCACTCACAAGTACCATTTCCAAACTACATACTAGGCAAACTAACTTTCGTAGATGTACGAGTACAGTATTGTCTTCTACAACATCTCGTATGTTGTAGAAGACAATACTGAAGATATGGTCTTAGAAGTTTCGACGTAGTCGTGAATATAGTAGAGGTATAGAAACGGTGAATATGACTGTGTTAAAGATGCAGTTGCGGTGGATAGTCAATTTTGAAGTTATGATAGAAACAGAAACTGTGTAAATGGCCTGTGCAACAGAGTTTTGCAAACAGCAAAGTAGGGTAAGATCAGCCAGTGTAATATACGAGGGTCATTTGACAAGTATCTAGCCTATAAATGAAAACACAAAAATTTTGCAAAAAATAAAATTTATTTTTCAATGTAGTCTCCTTTTAGTTGAATACACTTGGTCCAGCGGTGTTCCAATTTTTTTAACCCCGTTGAAAAAAATGTTTTCTCTTGGTTTACAAAATAGGCCTCCGTGGTGAGGATTACTTTATTGTTGGAGTAGAATCTCTTCCCGGTGAGTGAAATTATTAGGTTCGGAATCACAAAAAAGTCACACGGAGCCAAATCTGGAGAATATGGAGGATGGGGCAGCAGTTCATACTGTAATTTGACCCGGCGGTTGCAATTAGGACGTTCTCAGGAAGTTACGATTACGATCCGCTTAGCAAAAACATAGATGATGCACATAGTGCACCTTATGGCCACTTTGTGCAAAAATCTTTTTGTTAAAGCGGCAGATTATGATTGTCTTCCTCAACAATGACGGATACCCACCAGCGTGAGCGAGGATGACCGAAACGCAATGGGGAGACGTGCCACGGTACGTCGAAGCGATGTACCTGTGAGTCGTGGGAGCAATCCCTTAATACAGATACGCAGAGTGGGATGTTTTGAACGAGCCCAGGAGGGGAGGCTTAGCTGGTTGATCGTCTTAGGAATTTCCTCTGGCTGTCCTAGCTGGGTCTCTCTTCTGACATCCCAATTTGGGTTGGCCTCTGCGGGGTAGTGGTACCAGGTCAAGTAAATCTTGTAAGATTTGTATGCCGTGCGCTTTCGACGCGGTAGACGTTGGGACAACTAGAGTCCCGGCGCGCCAAAACCGAGGTTCAAGCCTTTAGTTCCGCTCTCCTTGAGCGTGAACCTTGAAAAGATCGGTACTCCTTTCGAGGAGGTCGCCGTCTTAGATTAACAAGGTTCCGACTCCCTGTGAGCGTCAGGGATGTCGTAGCATACTTGACTTCGGGATCTCCAAAGTACCTTTGAAAGCGAAGGAGTGAAAGACAGTGGGCTATGCCAACCTTCGGCGCCCAGGGAAAGGGGAGGTAATGTTTGATTACGCTGTGCCTCCCTCATAACGGAAAAATGTAAACAACGCATACACTAACTGTAATTTGACTCATTTAGCCGTGGCAACAGCAGAGGGGTGAGCCGATGCATCAACGTGGTGGAAAAGCACTTTTGTTTTTTAGATAAATAGGGCCGTTTTTGTTTTAATACGGTGTCAAATCGGCTCAATAGTCAATAGTACTGTCCTATTATCGTTTTACCCTTCTCCAGGTAGTCAATAAAAATCACACCTTGAGAATCCCAGAAAACAGTGGCCATCACCTTTCCGGCCGACGGGACCACCTTCGCCTTCTTCGGAGTAGGCTCACCGGGTAAAGTCCACTGTTTTTACTGCTTCTTGGTCTCTGGAGTGTACCAGTGAATCCATGTTTCATCAACGGTCACGTAACGACGCAAAAACTCTTTTGGATGGCGATTAAACAGATCCAAACACTGCTCTGAACTGATCAGACGGATGCGCTTGTTGTCTGTAGACAACAAACGCGGCACCCACCTTGCTAACAGTTTCATGTCCAAATCTCATGTAGGATATACCATACGCGTTCTTCTGAGACTACTATGGCAGCTATCTCGTGCACCTTTAATCGGTGATCTGACAAAAAAATATCGTGTACTTTTGTCACTTTCTCCTCTGTAGTGGCTCTTTTCGGAGCACCCGGGCATGGATCATCCAAAACCGATGTACGACCACATTGAGGCTCGTTATACCAATTTTTAATGGTTGCCATTGAAGAAGAAGCATCCCCATACACTACATCCAAGGGTTCTTTAATTTCACTGCACGATTTCCCTTCCAAAAACAAGAATCGAATCACCGAGCGATATTGTTCTTTCTCCATTTTTCAAAAATGAACGAACACACTTGCTTTCACACGCTCTCAAAAATAAACTATAACTCCGATCCGGCTGAAATTTCGTCTGTACTTGTGTACAAGAAGATACTGCACTGTAGTGTATTTCTGGCGCGATAGCAGCACCATTTGGTGGTGAAGCTAGGTTCTTGTCAAATGACCCTCGTAGTTTCAATGGCTCTCGAGTTGTAGAAAGCCTTGATTACACTGCTAAAATCAAAGAGATGATAAACCGATACCTATGATAAAGCAATGATTACCCTACCAAGAGAAAGTGGTAAAAAGCGAGAGAGTTAGACATATAAAGAAAACTAGAAAAAAATTAAAAACGATAGAAAATGTTAGTGAAAGATAAAGAGAAATGGTCTGCGTAGCGGCTTTTTTTCATGAGCTGTTCCCAAAATCTTAAATTTCTTTAATTCATTCAAACTCTGAGTGGATAAAAACACAGCATTCGATCACTGGCTCTCTCTTTCTTTGCCTTTTGCTTACGTTCATTTCTTCGCGCGTTCTTGTACTCATTTCTTTGTGTCTAGAGACGCTGCGTTACTATGAAAATTTCGATTTGAATGTTGGCTAGTCATACGAGTTGTATCTATTCAATAAAGCAATTTTCAACGAATCTTTTTATTAAAATGAAATAAAAACTTATCTCCATAAATATTGGGATAATTGTATACCAGAGTACGGACGTCTTCTTCCCTGCGTTGTTCTCTCTTTTACTCGGTCTACATTCTTACAAATTTATCTGTTTGAAACAGAAAATGTACCAAAACGATAAAATACATGATTATCTCATCATCAAGAGATGAAATTAACATAATTTATATACTTTCAAGCAGAGATTCATAGGTTTCACGCAAGTTGGTTGAAGCTTGCTCCTTTTCACGTGTATCTATTTCTGCACGTGGAGTGGAGTCCCGTCAGACATTTTAATATGTATTTATTTGCATAAAGAACATGAATGAAATGACAGCTCCGACAATTTATAAACATTAGTATCTCATTTATTTTATCCGATGCATCATTGTAAGCTTATAGTTTAATATACTCAGTATGTCGATTGACCATTTTTGCAAGCTGAATTTCAATTCAGTGTTCTTATTCTAGGCTAACATAGCTAACATATATTTTACATTATTATTTCGTAACCAACGTTTACTCGGTAAACTTGAAATTAATTATGTTTTTAGTTTTTTTTTCTTATAGAAATAACTTTTTTTTTATTGAAAGCTTTAAATAATTGTATGATTACGATGATTAAACAGCGGTTTGAAATAAAATTCAACAAAAGATAATTTCTTTTTAGCATTAACATTATGATTGAACTATTATCAATACCATTGAAGAAGCCTACTGATGTAGATGTGATTAAACCTTTACAAAACGTCATTCAATCAACTTTATCTGTATCGTCCAAAGACATAGATTATTTCGATAATATTACAGAATTTAGTAAATTGCGAAAAAATGCGTTATGGAGGGCATTTGAAAAATACGAAAGCTCCTTGGATATAATTTACAGGTATGTACTAATGTGAAATTTTCATGTATTAATTTTGTAACGACTACATTTTAATCTATTCATGATTTTCTCATGTATGAACCAAAATCATGAAAATTTTATGTCAATAATTGTGAGGTAACGCTTATACATGGTGACCCATTTTAATCGCCGCAGCCGGATTACTCGGAACCTAAGCCAGATAGGGCAAAATTGTTCTAACAAAATTTGTAGAGGGCAAAGGGGGCAACATAATAGGGCTAACGCTTTTGACCTTGAATTTGACCTACAAGGTTTTTTCAATGTCAAAGTGGTTTTTTTACATGGGAACCCATATTTTTGACATCGGATTCGGATAGAGCGGGAAATTTTACGTCCCAAATGCTATTTAGAAAATTTTTTTCATGTCCTTGAGGAGGTAATTTCAAGATCAAACGCTACAAAATCCTATGATTGCTATTTGCTAGCCTTTTCATGAATAGCAACCTCAATATTACAACGAGCTTGAAAATGTTGACCTTGAAAAGGTTTTCCTTACTTTTAGCGTTACCCAGAAACAACGACGTGGACGTAGTAAGGTTTGTTTCCTTTGGAGTGCTTGTTTCACGTGAGTCGCCTTGCCTCTCACTAACCTTGAAGCAAGTGTTCGAAATGACGACTATTTGCTTCAAGACGCATTGTCAAACACCTTTGAAAATTGGCGAACGGTGTTCAACAAAGTTTGCCTCGGAATAGCAGCGCATGCTCGACGAATCCTGTCCTGCATATCTGCTCTTGTTGATGCTCAAAAACAGCATTTTATAAGTACCCCCATAAATAAAAATCTGGTGATGTAAGATCGGGTGAGCAAGCAGGCCGGTTAACCGGACCTCCTCGCTCAATCCAGCTGATACCATAGTGCTCATTCAAAAAAACCCTTACGATTCTAGCAAAATGTGGTGTTGCGCCATCTGCTGGAACGACATTCTTCGTCGCGTTTCTAAGTCAACATCTTCCAGCAATCCAGGCAGTTCATCTCTTATTAGCTGCAAGTAACTAATGTTGATTTACATTTCCTTTTAAAAAATAAGGACCAATCAAGTGTCCATTGACAATCCCGCACCACACCATAACACTCCAACGTCTTTGATGGTTTACAATTCGGTAACAATAAGGATTTACATCAGACCAGTAATGGCAATTATACCTATTCAGTTTCCCATCACTTTGATATTTGGCCTCATCAGACAACAAAACAAGGTTAAACTAGTCTGGATCATTTTGTATCATTTGTAAAGCCTATTGGCAAAATACAATCCGCTGTTGGAAATGCTCAAACTGTATCTCTTGAACCAAAGTGATATGATAGGTGTGATATCGAAGCTTTGTCATAATTCTTAAAAAAGTACTTCTCGAAATACCAATTCCCCTTTCCACTCGACGAGCACTAATGTGTGGATCAAGATGAATTATTGCAAGGATAGCTATAATTCGATTATCATTTTCATCATACTCATAGCGCCTACGTTAACGAACCATGTGTCCACCACGAGCTTTTTGGGTTAAACGTCTGATAGCTCTATCATCAGGGTGTCGTCTGCTAGGATAGCGTTCAGCATAAAGTCATGCCGTAGCACGATAATTATTTTGGCTTGGTCCTAAAACCAAAATTATATCAACGATCTCGTTGGGTGGATAGTCAGCCATTTCAGAACCAGCTATTAATTACTATTAAATGGAAACAAAAAAGGAAAAATGTTGGAAAATTACGGTAACTTTATTTAGCTAACTGTATTGCCAAAAATAATTAGTTAATCACATTTTTTTTATTTTAAATTTTAAATGAAAATAATCGTCCAAAAAATCAAGGTATTCAATTCAATTAAGCATTATTTCTTATTTTGATTGTTCATAAAACTAAAACTTCTTTTTATTTTTTGTTATATGTAAAAAATGTGAATTAGTAGTGCTCGAATTACCGAAATACTAATTTTGATAATGTAATTATTTACACGTTCTTAATTATAGACACTTCTGCAAAAAAATACTTAAAAAATGCTGTTTTTGAGCAACAACCCACTATAAGAGCAGATATGCAGGACAGGATTCGTCGAGCATGCGCTGCTATTCCGAGGCAAACTTTGTTGAACACCGTAAACTTAAATATTATTTCAAAGGTGTTTGACAATGCGTCTTGAAGCAAATGGTCGTCATTTCGAACACTTGCTTTGAGGTTAGTGAGAGGCAAGAGGACTCACGTGAAACAAGCACCCCAAAGGAAACAAACTTTAGTACGTCCACGTCGTTGTTTCTGGGTAACGCTAAAAGTAAGGAAAACCTTTTCAAGGTCAACATTTTCAAGCTCGTTGTAATATTGAGGTTGCTATTCATGAAAAGGCTAGCAAATAGTAATCATAGGATTTTGTAGCATTTGATTTTGAAATTCCCTTCTCAAGGTCATGAAAAAAATTTCATAATTAGCATTTTGGACGTAAAATTTTCCGCTCTTTCTGAATACGATGTCATAAATAGAGGTTCTGATTTAAAAAAACACTTTGACCTTGAAATAACTTTGACGGTTCAGTTCAAGGTCAAAAGCGTTAGTCCTATTATGTTGCCCCCTTTGCCCTCTACAACTTTTGTCAGAGCTATTTTGCTCTATCTGGTTTAGGTTCCGAGTAATCCGGCTGCGGCGATTAAATGGGTCACCGTGTATAATAAAGGCGCACTTTTACGACACTCGATCTTTTTCTTCCAGCCAGGACTTTTAACCTTATACATTGTATTGTAACCTTATAACCTTATAGCGCAACGCTTGCTCTCGTCACACCCCGTTCCGCATTGTCTGTTAGTTCTCAGTAAAACTCTCCCTCAGCCTTACTACCTCTCGCATAAGTCCTACAATTTTATGGCCTCGATAAATTTTCACCGACATGTCATTGTCTTATCCACAAAAGCAGTGTGTTCGTTCTTAATACGTATTCTAGACGTATTATATCTAACGCTTTTCCTCATTTCCTTAAGTACGTGGCAATCAGTATTGTCGTCAACATTTGTCATTACAATAATTACATAGAAAATTTCACTGCGTCTTAGAATTATTGTATTTATTGATTTTTAAAATTATTTTTATGGCAAATGATTTATTCTTTTCCAAGTCTCTGAATCACGGCAACCCGCCAAACTCACTAATCTGTGCCTATTAATTAGAATAGAGAACAGCACCATTTCATATATTATATGATTGTCTTAAGACAAGAGTCAAATTTCATAACCATATAAGGAAAACGACTGTGAGAAATGTTAGTTTGTCGGGTAAAAGCATGTATTTATTTTTCTGAGAATTATAGACGCGCGAGCGACGAATGTGTGCGAGAGCGCATGCGAAGAGTCAGTCTGGAGAGAGACGCCACGAGTGTAACACGCAATTACATCGGCGTGCTCCGTTTGAGATTAGTAAAAGTTACCTTTTTTTGTTTTGTATTTCTAAATTAATACAGAGAGTCTCAATATTTATTAACCTACACTACTCCCCTTCCTTATATGTAAAATTTCTGGCGACCGTGACAGGACGCGGGAGTGAGTAATTTACTAAAAGTTTTCGTGCCCAAAAGCTAACCGCAAAAAATGGAAAACGCGAAGAGGCAAAAATCCGTTCAACGCGCGTTATTCACGAAGTGTCTCAATACATTTGTTGCCAAATGCAATAACGCTACCGCTACCGCCGATGAGAGAAGTGTCGCGTTACAGTTGCTTGAAACAAGAATGCAAGAGTTGGAAGTCACGAACTCGAAGTACGTGGATTTGTTATCAGATTCTACGGCGGAGGACGACGATATTGTAAAAGAGATTGAGGCACACGATGAATACAAGAAAAAGTTTTTAGAAGCTAAAGTGAAATATTTGCGCGAAATTAGTGCAACACGTCCACCGACAAGTGACGCGGGTGCAAATAATCAAGCAGTACAGAACTACGATAAACCATATAAACGACCTACACTTGATGTACCAAAATACCCAGGAGGAGTTGATAAGTGGCTCCAATTTTGGTCATTTTTTCGAAAATATCATGAAGACGTGAATCTTTCCAAGGAAGTGAAACTTGAGTATTTGAAAGGAATGATGCAACCAGGTTCAAAGGCATTTGGTATTGTCGATGGATACCCGACAACAGCACAGAATTACGATCTAGCATTTGAAAGTCTCAAGAGTCGCTACGGACGAGACGATTTATTGATCGAGTTCTATACTAGAGAACTGTTGACTTTAACAATACAAAACGCCACTAGAAAGAAAGAAGACCAATTAGATGTTGCATCGATTTACGACAAGTTGTCAGCTCATATTCGTGCTCTTGATACATTAGGTGTTAAAACAGACAATTGCGCGACGATGTTATACCCGCTCGTGGAATCTTCACTGCCCGAGGAAGTTCTTAGAACGTGGCAACGCTCCCCGTTGAGTACAGCAACAGACAACGACAACAACACGCGAGGAGCTCCGGTTTCCGACCGTTTGACGAAGTTATTAGAATTTTTAAAAATTGAGGTTACCAACGAAGAGAGAATCAACTTAGCCATCAACCATTTCGCTGTATCATCGGAGGAGAAGCAAGAAAAGCCAAAAGAGGGTAAGCAGAAAGAAAGCAAGGTGACGTCATCGAAGGAAGTAGCTACTGCTAGCGCATTATTTTCAAGCGAGCGTAAAAGTATGAAATGCATATTTTGCGGTGAAAATCACGATAATTCGAGTTGCGAGAATGCGAGAAAAATTTCGTTTGATGTTAGGAAAAAAGCAATCAAAGAAAATAATTGTTGTTTCAAATGTTTAATACCGAATCATCGCTCGAGTAAATGCAAAGTGAAGATAACGTGCGCATGGTGCGGTAATCGTCATTCTATTCTCGTTTGCCCGGATTTGAACAAAGAGTCGAATAGCGAGAAGCCGCAGAAGAGTGACACATCCGAGAAAAGCGAGCGTCCGGAGCAAAATCTCGCAAGTTTTTGTAGTTCACCTGACGTTTATTTACAAACACTGCGCGT